TCTTTAAGCTTCCATCATCTTAGCATTGGAGAGACGACAATGCTAAGCCTGGTCTTGTCCATCAGAAAATTTAATGAAATATGTGTTTGATTCTTGATGTAATGGGTAATCTTTTTGGAGCTTTGCTGTAACTGCTGATAGTGAATGCATTATAGCTGTGGTTAGCTTTAATGTTTAATTTCAGTGTTATCTCTGTTGAATGACCTCCACTGGCCTCTTTGACCTGAGTTACTTTGTTCTAAAACAGAGTTAAATATTTGTTTCTCATTGGGTGTTTCTCCTTCCTTACGGACCTTCTGTTATGTTCTAGATTGTCTTAAGTCTTTTGTTCTCTATCCCTTCTCTCATAATTAAAGACAATTTCGGTGTAAACTCATTCATCATTACTGCCTGCCTTTTCTTTGGGCTTAACATATCAAAATTATGTGGAGTTTGTTGAATTAAGTCAATTCATCAAATGGGGATTCACAGTAAATTGCTTAGATTTGTCTTCTGGAAATTCTCACTGATGTCATTTTTTTGTACCACCTCAGTTTTGATACAGGTTTAAAAAAAAAGAAAAAAATATAGCTTTGAGCTAGTTTTCTTGCTTTCCATAAAAGTTTTGCATTTGAAAGAGGGGTGTATGTGTATGTGGGGGTGGGGTCAGTTCTAGGGACTGAACCTAGAGATTTGCACATAGCACTTTACCACTTTGCTCTATCTAAAGCTCCCCTACCTCCTTTTATAACTTTTATACAGGGTCTTACTAATTTGTCCAGGCTGGCCTTGAACTCAGTTTGTAGCTCAGACAAGGCTTGCATTTGTAATTCTCTGCTTCAGTTTCCCAAGCCACTTATATTATAGGCCTGTACCCACAGGGCTATCAGTTTTTAATTTTTGTGATTTTTTTGATTGTTTTTTTAGTGCTATATTACAGAGTTTTTTTTTTCTCTTCTTCTTCTTCCATAGGACTTTATAAAAAGACTTACTTCAGACTTGTATTTCTCACATCACTCTAAGGTATACATTTATCACCCCGTCATTAATACATTACCATTTGACTATCATTAGGCTGTCACTCTATAAAACCCTTGAGAAAGAGAGTCCTTATTTTAAGTAGGCCTGATGCTAAAGAGGTTAGTGCACTATCTAAAATTCTATTCTTGGCAAGAATAGGCTTTTGAAACATCAAGAAGAAATGAAATTTAGAGGAGCTACCAAACAATGGAAGGTCTAGGAAGAATAAAACATTAAAATTGGGAGAAAACAGTCAAATCTAAACACACTGCCAAAGGACAAAACTCACATAAGAGTTCTAGGGAAGGTCTGTCTTTATTTTGAAATAATCTAATATGCAATAAGAAGAACCTGAATGGCCAGATTGAATTTAATGTCAAGAAATCCACTTGAAGAAAACTTATAAAGTCCCTGAAGGGGGCTGGCATGAAGAAGACTTGGTTAAAAGTGCACTGCCCTTTCATAAAACCCAAGCTGGTTCCCAATATCCCCATCTACTCCAGCTTCAAGGAATCTGATCCTATTTCTTATAGCCTTCATAAGCACCAGCACCCTGCCGCAATGTACACATAAATTAAGAAAAATCTCTATTATAATCAGTGAAGATTGTCTGGTCTGGTCCATTTTTAATGGCCATGGAACAGAACATTTTTATTTACGTTTTTGTATTAAAGTTCTAGATACGGGAGTCGTGGATAGATGAACAAAGGAAAGGGGGCACTTACTAACCCTTCCCACAGGAATGCTTGTTAAGAGGTGGGAGAGGGCATGCCTCAGTTTCCAATGAAGCTTTGATGAGACGGCACACTGGAGTGAGTAGGTGAGATTTATGTTAAGATACAGACTTCTGGCTTCTGAGATATTTGAAAATTATACTGGGTAAAGCTCCACAAACAAGGCCGGAGAATTACCCAAGATTACCCAGGTCACGTACTGTCTCTGGGATGATGAGACCTGAACCATGAGAAAAGTCTATGGACTCTTACCAGCTCCACACTGTATGTTAAAAGGTGAGTGTCTGCCAAGTGCAGAGTAAAACCAGCCCCTCTTATAAGTAGGAGCTCAGTCCAGCCCATTTGCTTCATTGTACAAATGTCACAGCAGATGACAATGAGAAATGGCAGTTAGCTTCTTGTGCCAAACACTAGACAGATTTGTATTTTTGCCTAAAGCTGATGTATTGATCAGGTAAAAGCCGCAAGCAGGAAATACTACATGCAGAGAACAGGCAAGTTAGAGGGGAAGGAAGCATAATATGTAATGTGTCTTCTGTGAACATTTTCAATCAACTGCCGCTAGCGCTCGCTTCACAAAACTTTGACATATGTCCCTTGACCTTTACCAACTACCCTTTCACGTTTGACACTTAGCATTTGCTACGTGATTAAAATTCAGCGTTAATTAATTTCAACGCTATCAGTTAAGTTATATTTAGCTAAGAACACTCACTTTTGTCTTTTGTGAGTAGCACTGCAGTGCTATTACAAAGAGGTAGTCAGGAGGGCAACAGAGATACGAGAAGAGAAGAATGATTCAGTGTGCGGATAATTGTTTCAAGTGAAATTTAGCTTGGTATTTTTGTTCCTGTCCTCAGCAGAACTGAGATTTAGCACCTCCGGCTGGCATTTAGCCCCCACCCCCACAGAGAAGGAGGCTGTGCTGGGTGGATGCTGAGAATGAGCCACACCAGAATTAAATTATGGCACAGTTCTAACACTGGCAAGGGTTTTCCCTGGCCAGCTCTTGTGTACAAACCTGGCGATGCCAAAAGAAAAGCAAAGCATTGCTGGCAAGGCTCTGCGTATGGTGTGGCACTGGCCTAAATGGTGGGGGCTGAATACTTGCGAGAGAGTTACTTTCTGAAACGGTGGCCGTTCCTCACACAACCTTGGTGGATACAAGAATACTTAAGCATTACGGATTTGGACGCCTGGCCTTACAAGGCTACCCATGAAGTTGTCTTACTGCTGAGTTAGGTCATAATGTGACGAAAATGCTTATGAGAACTAGACACCACCCCCATCTCATTTTTCCATTTTCCAGAGTACGTTTATTCAAGGGAGATATGATTTTGTTGGCTCCTCTATTCCATGCACCTCTACCCTATAAATGCATCATGGTAACAGTGTAGTTTAATAAATCTGAGCCTCAAAATGCTATAGATCTATTATCATTGTTGTTCTGGTATGAACTCAAATTCCTTAAGTGTGTTGAACTCCTGGAATGCTTCTGTCATGTACAGCCTAGAAAGAGAGACCTAATCTCAACTGACAGTGAAGGGGAAACACAGTTGACAGACACTTAACTTGGTGAAGATCCGACAATCCATGTTGGATTCTTTGAATATATTCAAGTATTCCCCAGTTGTTTAAAATATGACTTAGGTCATAGTGTAACCCAAATGCTCATTAGAAATAGATACAAGCCCGTCTCATTTTGCTATTTTCCTGAGCATTTTCTTAAGGGAAGAATATGCTTTTATTGGCTCCTTTATTCCATGAACCTTTACTCTATAATATATATATATATATATATATATATATATATATATATATATATATATATATATATACATATATATATATATATATATATATATATATATATATATATATATATATATTGTGATAATATGTATAACAGTGATAATGGTTGTATTATTTTTTTATCTTTAGCAATTCAACTTTTTATGGTACAGAGTGTAGCCCCAAGCCATGATGACATCCTTTAATAATAGGCAAAGCAATTTGATTGTATCTAGCAGATTTTAGATTCTTGAACAACAATAACAAAAATTTAGCCTACGTTTCCAGATTTTGCAGTCAAGTAACAAAGCATGCGGGTCTATGTCTCTGGTGAAATGCTGGAGTAGTAACTGACCTAAGGTCTTAGGTCTTACCCCAAGCTATGTTTACTTTTTTTCCTCAGGGAACACCGAAAAGCTGGTCTTGGTCATAGCACAGAAGAACCCATTCAGTCCTCCAGCATGAGGTTTTTGTCTCTTTCTGTGTTCTCTCATCAGAGTCCTATTCTTGAGAACTTAAAAAGTCTTTTCATCATTGAAAACACAATTGGGGGGGGGGGCTGGAGAGATGGCTCAGAGGTTAAGAGCACTGTCTGTTCTTCCAGAGGTCCTGAGTTCAATTCCCAGCAACCACATGGTGGGACACAACCATCTTATATTGGAATCTGATGCCCTCTTCTGGCATGCAAATGATCTACAGATAGAGCACACTTATATGTAAAATAAATAAATAATTTAAAAAACAAAGCAGAACTAAAAAAAAAAAAAAAAAAAAGAAAAGAAAAGAAAACACAACTGGGTTAACCTCCCTGCTCAAGTCCCTGACCTGGGCCTTCCCTAGGCTCTTTCTCAATTGTCTCTGCTCATATAGATCTTCACATTCTTGTATCTTTCACCTCCAGGTGTGAATTGCTCTTTGGACACTGATTCATCCTTCACATTGGAATGAGCTCCTAATCCAACCGAACAGAATGCCAGAAGTGCATGTCTATTTTCCATGGACTCTTCTAGTCCAGATCTTAGCTCCCATCCTCTATTTCCTGCTGCAATTGACTTTGCTCGGGTCCTGCCATTATTTAATGCAAAAAATAAGGCGACATTTGTCATTAGAGTAGCATAGTTCGATCAACTATATCTAAAGTAAATTAAATAAGCGATATATATATCGCTTATTATATATTATATATAATATCTATTATTATATATATAATATATATAATATATATATAATACTTAGATAGACTATACTTAAGGTAAATTAAAGTTTTTAGTATGGGAAGTTTTCTAATTAGTGAGACGCTTAGCCATTTTGGCTTCAATTGGTATCTATGACAATAAGAAACAATTTTCAAATGAAAGTTAAAAGATCTCTGTTTTGTTATATCTTTCTTCAATGCTAAGTAGCCGGCTGTCTGAATAGCTTGAGATTGAACACGGTTTCTTTCTCTGAGCTGTTTTTCTGGTTTCTTGTTTTCAGGTCTTGCACAATGGCCTCGTTATGGAAATGAATCATCCCACTGTGGGGAAGATTTCAGTCCCAGGTTTGAAAGTTTTTGTTACTTTTCTTAACACCTTCATTCATCAATTGTACATATGTTCCCTACAACAGGGAACCAAAAACTTCCTAAAGAAGTTATTGAAAATCAATTCAAAGGTATAACTTTGAATAACAGGGGAATCCTGTGACCATACCTACTCATAAGAATGCATGCTGAGACTTCAGGCTGTATGTCTTTTCTCTAAAGAATGTGGAAGTGTCTCAGTGACAAAAATTTTCATGTTTCCTCATTTCACATCAGGTAGTTATGTACACATGAAAGTACATTATGCAATTATCAATAGATAAATAATAATAACAGATATAGTATAGCCAAAAAATGTCATGTGGTTTGTGTGAAGATAGAAAAGAAAAACAGGAATGTGTGAATGGTCATCTCTCATAACTATGAACTGATGTATAGATCTTGATTTTCCAGATCAAAAATTTAAGTGTTTTCATTAATAAACTTAGGTGTTTAAATGTTGGCTCATACCAGATAAACTCAGCAAAGTCTGTAGCTTAAGCAAAAACACCATTTTCATTTCCAGAGGGAGGTATCTTTGCAGCATCCAGGAGTCTCATGCCACTTCCAGAGAATCCTCTATTTTTAAGTTTCAAGAACAACCTGATAATTATTTCCTGAAGCTTCTCAGATGATGACCATTTATAACTAAAAATATGTAATGAGAAGAAGAATGATGAATGGAAGAAAATTGAGAGAATATTGATGTGTAAGGGGATTAGGAGAGTTCTGTGTGGATTAGGAATATGACTGAGGGATTCATGCATGCATAGTCTATAAATATGGTGAAAAATGTTGATGAAGTTTAAGAAGGTTATTTATTCATTCATCCATATAAAAAACATATGGTCCGTGCCAGGTATTGCTTTCGATTCCATTAATATAAAAGTAAATGAGGCAACTTGGACCCCCCACACAGACTTTTCTCTTATGAATATGACAAGTAATATGAACTATGAGTGGATTCTTCTGGAACTGTAAATAAAGGAAAGCAAAGCATGCTGTCATAGAGACTGACAAGGGCGTGGAGGTCTCCAGTAGTTTGGGGGATTGAGGAACATTTATTTGGTAGGCTGTTTAATAAACTAAGACTGAAGAAAAACAGAGGCTGGACTCCGAATAACCAAAGAGCAGGTATGAAACCTGATAAAGGAAAGAGCTGGGTGTGCCTAAAGTTTAGGAAGACCATGGGGGTGGAAAAGATGCTGAGGGTACAGGCAGAAGCTTGAGAGCCCACCAAACTGGACTTACCCTAACCATTAATAAGAGAGCAAAGTGATACAATCTATGACCCAGATTGTCAAGTCAGAATATTATTCCAAGAGTTTATATGGCAGTCTCATAAATATGTTAGAACCAACTCCACGATCGTAGTACTTTAGTCTGAGACAACCTTAAAACTATTTTGTTACTGTTTCTAATTTTTTAACAGTGAAAGTGATTTTTCACAATGAGTCTCTACATTTTCAACAGATCAAAGAAAAAATGTTGCTACATGAAGAGTCCGATCAGTTAGCTTTCCTGCTTTGCCCCCTCCACATGCTAGGACTCTCAATGTCCATCTTTAAAGGGTACTGTTATTACAACTTTTCCTGAGGAGAATGTATAAATGTCTTCTTGCCCCAGATAAGGCGTCAATAACAGAAACAAAGAAATGGTCCACTCAGGTATAGCTTTGTGCTATAGTAAGTCTAATGCAGTTACTTACAGGAATTTGGTAATGGATTACTCACAGAGGCATGGCTACTTATAGACAGTTATACCACCGAAGAAAGAGACCTGTCTCCTCCAGCAACTGTTAACCACATACATACTTGGGAAAGGTGGTCCTTCATAAACCCATCTCCCTTGGCAATCATTATAAATCCTTGGCGTGGTCCTTGAGTCCTCCACTCTCCAAAACTGAAAAACAATGGGCTCAGTTTTAAGTGTGTGTCAGGGGAGTATTCACAGTTGTTCACAGTTCAAAAGAAAATAGCCACATCATGCTCATAGGACAACTTAACAACAGATCCCCAAACAGAGTCCTAAACTATGGTTCTAAGTTGACTCCATATTTTACAGATGAGGCCACAGAGTCATTGGCATCCCCATAAACTAGAGGAAAGTCTTCATTTTAAAGACAATACAGTTGTTAGCCTGACCACAAAGAAGAAAAACAGAGCCCAGTGGAGGACGTAGGGGAAACTCACACTTTCTGCATTGAGCAGATGCGAATTTGCTGATTTCTGTGGAAAAAGAATAAAGAATCAATCTCAGGAAAGAGACTTTTTTTTCTTTAATTTCTGGAAGGGAAGACTGTCCCCATTGCTCTTTTTAATTTGTGAATGTATCAGATAGTTATGGTCATGATAGTGGTGGATAACAAAGAACCACAAAACCTTAGCTACATTATTTGTTTTCTTCATTTCATGTGTGTAATCAGCAGGGAGATACTGCCACAAGCTGCTGTCAGAGGGTGACTTTATTTCTGATTACACATATGGCTAGCTTGATTTCTCACTGCATGCTGGCCTCAGTTCTTCTCTGTGTATCTCTTGTGCCCCCATGGCAACTGGCTGAAGAATAAGAAGGCAAACAGAAGGTTTAGTGTCACTTAAAGTGTTGACATAGAACCAGGAAACGGAACTATTTGCCTAAGGCCATTTAAAGCTGTTTCTTTAGGTCAGCAAACACCCATGCCTTTGAGAAGACTTTGTGGTGGAGAGTGTGAGCTTAAGGATGAGCAAATAACTGGGAGCAAAAAGTCAATTTACAATGATGTTATCAGCTCTCCTGCACCAACTCTTTTCTGGTTTATTTCCCTGTAGATTAATTCTTCTTAGTTTCTGTACAATTCATGAATCCTTTTGGTTTGTCTATCTTATTGACAGGATTTTTATCTATAGATTTGTCAGTATGAAAATTATCCAACTTCAGGCTCATTATTTTTAGTTATCTAATAGAGACATATTTTGAACTTTCTAAACATAGTTCTATAGATTTGCATCTAAGTATATTCATCTTCATATTTATAGTAAAAGTATTACTAAATATTAACAAACCTCCATATTTCCTTTTTTATTAATGAACTATGACATATGCTGAATTTTCATATGTTTCATATTTGGTGTCTTAGCCATTACTGGTAACTTGTATCCTGAAAAAGAATATATTTACTTTTAGAGACAAAGTTTCAGGATGTAGTTATAGCTGAACTGGAACCCACTAGGTAGCTCAGGCTAGCCTGGTACTCACTATGAAGACCAGGCTGGCCTTATACATCTGTAGCATGCATCCTACCTTTCCCTCAAAGGTGCAGAGATGACAATGTGGGCCACCACATCTGGCCTGTGGGCATCTTTAAGCAGCATTTCTAGTGCCTTATTTTTAGATGTCAAACCCACATGGCATTTTCTTAGCTAATAGCTCCCACATGGGTACCAACAGACTACACCTCAAAGTACTGCTTAACCAATGTCAAGTACTTACTTCCCATACACAGAATAAGTAAAATCTGCTTCTCTTCACTATTCAAAAATACTGGATGGCATCATTACCTCACAGAGCTTACAGTTTTTAAGAAAGGCAGGCGGTGAAGAAAGAAAGAAAGAAAGAAAGAAAGAAAGAAAGAAAGAAAGAAAGAAAGAAAGAAAGAAAGAAAGGAAGGAAGGGACAGTAAATGTGGGCAAGAAGGATGAGTGAGTTTCCATGAAAAACTAGAGGCTGCAGCAGGTTCTCTCCGTGCCTGGACCAGAGAGATCTTACATAGTATATACAGTCTGAAGAAAGTATCTCTGAGTGGTGTGGTCTAAATAGATCTTTAGGACATGAGAATATGCTAGAATTGAGAAAATAGGAAGAAAAGGTTCAAGGTTACTCTGGAGAGTGATCTAGATGCCAGATGAATGAGGTCTTAAATAGAACTAATGATGTAATTAAAACCAAATCAGAGATTTCAAAGCCATCTATGGCAGTGTCTCTCTCTCCCTCTTGGGTGAAGTTTGAAACTGGTGATTGGAGCTGGAACTTAGACAGAAACCCCAACATCAACAGAACAGATACTCTTACAGATTGATTTGATTTCCACCAAAAACTTTCATTAAACTTACAGTGTCCTGAGTTTTAAACTGTGAAACTGATAAATGCGTGACTATTAAATATAGAAAATAAAGTCATAGTCAAGTCCCAGCAGAAGTTCTACAATGAGACAGATGATATAAACACCAACTGACTGTCACTGTAATGGAACAGGCTTGCATAAATTATCATGAAGTCTGTCAATTCTCACTGAACTGCTCACTGCATCTTCTTGCAATGCCACTGGCCATTGGCATATAAGCCAGAGAGGATCTTGGTGTCTTTTCATATTCTGAGGAAGTGCCAAAATGGCCTTGGTGCTGTGCCCCGAACTTCAAAGGCTGTCACTGCAATAGACTTTGATATATAGTTCTAAAGTTGCTCACTATAACCTTTCAAATTCTTACCCATGAAAATGCACAGTGGTCATTTGACTCCAGAAACTTCTGGGAAGTGTTCAGTGAATTGTGTCAGTGCTCTGAAGGGATCAGTCTTCTACGCATGTGAAAGGATTCTAAATTGAATTATCCTGCCTGCTTGTCTCTGGTCTGTGTTTTCCAAAAAGAGCTCCACATGATTTTCAATAAAACTTAGCCTACATTTTTCCTACACAGAATTTTAATATTCACACTCAGAACTTAGCAGTTTTAAGCATAGGATATTAGATAAAGGAGGAAGAGTCACCAATTTGAAACATCTTAAACTTTAGTGAATTTTTAAAATGTAAATTACTTGCTGCACTTTTAATAAGGGATGTTTTAAAACACCCTTCTGGCTTTGACACAGAAAGTCTCTGTTTTCATAAACTTGGGAGGGAAAAATCACGTCAGCACTGTCTGAACAAACTTAATGTTAGAAGCTATTACATATAAAAAAACTTTAAAAGATGATCTGTGGCAAGTTTATTCCATGTGATTTTT